GCTTAAACATTAGTATATTTTTGTATGCCGAAGTTTTTAAAATGGTTCCTCCTGTGAAATGCGAACTTATTCTGGTATTAATGCATTAAATACAGGTTGTCATCAAATGCCTGAATCCTATATCTTCGGATAAATTTCTGACTGTAACGTCGATATTTAACTGTATATCTTTTCTCTGCTCAGCGTAGAGGACCATCGCTCTGACCTGAAACTAAATGCAGATACGGTAGTAACGGTCTTTGTTGTTTGGTATTCTTCTCGCTCCATTTCAATAAAACCTGGACGTCAGCAGAGTCGTCTGCAATGGATTACGCTCAGAGTAAATGTTATTTGATTAAGGAGTTTATGCGGCTTGAATCTAATACATTTCTTTCCCGTAGGGCGTCATTTTCTGTTCTTTTGGTAAAAGGCATGATCAGTTATTTCAGTAGGCGGTGACCTTCTTACGTCTACTTAGATTTGGTTTAAAAGCTTAAGAACGTAAAAAGTATGTCATCCACTGATCACCATTTTCTCATTAGATTGACGTTTCAGGGTTGACGACAGACATCTGATGCCCTTTCGAGTTTTACGGTGTCATCCGCTCCCTAACTTGTGTTGTTGCTCACCGTCTTCGACATGGACTCCGAGATTGAATTTAAGAGCAAGTATATAGAGAAACAGTCTTCTCATTAAGAACATGTCCAATTTTAAATACATATTCTATTAAGTAGCCACAAAGACATTGCCAGATAGTTAACCTTGTACAGAATATCTCATGTGGTTTGGCTAAAACATAAATAGCAATACAGATTTCAGTTTTAAAACTAATCTATAGCCGTTGTTTCCATACGATTTATGTTCAGTATTTATATGCGCTTAACAGTGTTGCGCATCAGGATAATTAAAGAATGGTTTGTAGCGAAAATCTGTCGATATATCGTCAGCATCGGAAGACCCTCGACAGTCAGACTTTGTCAACGACTGACCATATGGCTGAACTTTTGCTTTCAGAAACATCCCGGCGATCTTGGATCGATTTAGCCATAGCTTAGCTCTGTGCATTCTATCTGAACACTCGCACAAGTTCTATCAGAGTATGCGATTAGTTTTGGCGATCAGATTCTGACGATGAAAATAGCACTAGTGCTTTTATCTGATGATTCACTAGAAGGAACCAGAAGGATTGGTTGCGTAAACGTTTGCATTCTAGTTACTGAAACGAACCCGGCTTTCAACAGCAACTCTGATCAACGATTTTTTCCTTCATTGTTTTTGTTGCCAAATATTTTTTATTCATAATACGACCTGTCATGAGGAAGCTGAGATTCCGTTTCGGCAGTCAAGATACCAATATTTGCGCAGTCCACGCATTTATTATCTCTTGTGTACGAATCTTCTATGATCAATGATACGTTAAAGTCTCTTAGTCTTTAAAAGGAAACTATCGTTGATGCCTTAGGTTCACAGAAACAGAGCTGGTTTTTGATGTTGTCGGTCAGCAAAACGTACACATATGTCGCTTCTCTGAATTTGCGCCGTAATGTTACTATCTCCTTGCTTCTGGAGTGGGGGGGGGGGCGTAAGAGACATTTCTATCCACGCAACCCCGTCTTAGCACAGTTCCTTCGGCGTTGCGCCAGAAATCTAGAATGGTGTTGCTGCTAGGCGTGCTGGCAGCGAGCTTAACGCCTGTGATCCAATTATTGTGATCAAGCAGACTCTTGGTTTCTTGTGTTGTGCAGTGATGGGGAGTCTGTCCTGGCAATGTGATGTGACTCACTGATTTGTGGACTGGCACGCGAATAGTTATTGATTTGGTACTTCTAATTTTGAAAACCTGCTGTATGATGAAAGACGGTCAGCTACCATTTTGACGGCTTCCTTCGGCATCCTTTCTGCAGCAGTGATGTACATTGTCCCAGCGACCTAAGGGTATGCATCTGCACACATCACTGCTACGGGTCTGCTGCGGTGAGGGTCCATCCCGTCAACTGCTTGGAGAGTTGTCTGCATGTGACCATGAGACGCGCCGCTGCCTGATCGAATACGTTTGTTGTCCATTTCGAATTACTGTACAACCATTTCACAATGAGAGTCGTTTCAGCGACGGACTGGCACTTCTCTGCATGTTCTTCGAACGCTAGAGCCGATGAGTGTTCACCACCAACGCGTTTTCCACCTGTCCTTGTCATTACTGATCCACGCCAAAGATCATCTAAAGATCATACCGTGAGAACCTTTTTGACCGGGTTGTCGCATCCATCAACCGAACCAAACCGGTTAACGTTTACTGCTGCCGCCATGGCCGCCCATTGGAACATAACCTTTAGCAAGGCCTGCTACAATAATCTGCTTGGAGCTGTTTAATGAGATTTTAGACCGAAGCTGATCTTCTCGAAGATGCTTGATATTTCTTCGTTTTTATGTAAAAGTTCTCTGCTGTACCATCATCATCGTCCTCAGCCACTTTCGATCCTTGGCTGGATCATAGCCTATCGAAAATTTTCCACGCTTCTGTTTTCTGCCATTTTCATCCATCTGGATCCAGCGAAGTCTTCAGTTCATTCTACCATCGATCTGGAGATCTTCCCACTGGTTGTTTACTGACTTCCACGAGAGAGAGTAAATGGTATGAGAAAGAATTTTACTATCGGTATTTAGATGGACGGCGTCGCGGAATTTTTTTTCGATGTTGCTTCCAAAGGTTCTCCTCTGTAATCTCCTGGATCGACCGATAATGGCGATGAATCGCACCGGCCGTAGCACTGTCACATCATTGTTCCTCGCAGTTTCTAGCCTTCTCCATCCAAGAGCCGTTTTTACCAGCTTTTGATATAATTTTCCCACCGATGTGGTGGTGGACAAAGTTGCCTAGTCCGCCTATAAGGATGCTAATCAGCGATCATCGTTGACCACCATCTCCCGTCGCTGAGTCCGGCAACATACCAGCCTACCGTACTTTCTCCCGTCTGTTTCG